TGAGGATTGTGGGCCACCTGCCACAGAGACAGGCGTCACTTTTGCAGAGTGGCAGCTGTCACGAGGGAAAGCTCCTAAGTGTGGGTGCACAGTTAAATAAACAGACCCGAACGGTGCTTCCCCAGACCGCATGCTCTGGCACCTGCCCTATGCAAATGTGGGTCTGCGTTAGGGAGCCAGTGAGGGCCGCTAGACGTTGGGGTGTAAATCGAGGCCGCTCCACGTCGAACCGCTGTGATCCGCACCGTCTCAACTGCCCGCTCCCTCCCTTTATACGTAAGTATAAACGGCTCCCTGGCCGTTTTCTGCTTCCCGCTGGCCCCGACCACCAGCAAAACCCCGTAATTAGGCATCTCTTGTCGGGGTTTTTTTTCTTTCGGAGGAAGGCAAGCCTCAACTTGCTTCTGGGTTCTTAATTTTTGATCAGGGATGCTCCTTGACTAATTATTTGGCAGTAATGAGGGAGGAGGCATCGAGTGGGGGACGTCTCCCTGAGCTTTCAGACCAAGCCGTAAATGTAAGGATGAGGCATTTGGTAAACAGGACGCTAATTGGATTAATGCGAAATAATGAGTTCTAGTGAAAATAACAGAAAAGACGATTGTAAGATTGAGGTCAAGGTAATTCCAAGAACACTGTCCAAATCTCCCTCTGGTCGATTTGATCTCTGAAAATATTTAGAATAAGACAAAGAGTCTACTCTCCACGGTAAAATGTGTAGGAGAGTAATTTCTGGACAGCATGTTTTATTTATTTTTTTTAATTTTTTTTTTAACGTTTATTTATTTTTGAGACAGAGAGAGACACAGCATGAACGGGGGAGGGGCAGAGAGAGAGGGAGACACAGAATCGGAAGCAGGCTGCAGGCTCTGAGCCATCAGCCCGGAGCCCGACGCGGGGCTCGAACTCGCGGACCGGGAGATCGTGACCTGAGCTGAAGTCGGACGCTTAACCGACTGAGCCGCCCAGGCTCAGCCCTGCCAAATCCAAGAGGCCGGGTATGGACCAGTGCTTTGCCCTTTGTGACCTTTCGAATTTCGTGCTATTCGAAGGCATTCCATTGATGAGAGTTCTTAATGGTAAAAGGTGACAAAATCATGGTGAGGGTGGCCCTGCTTAGGAACCGGCTAGAAAGGGGCTCAAATCCACCCCAGATGTGCTACTTAGTCATGTGATCTTGCAAAGGTTGGCTTTTGTGGGATGAGAGGAAGAAATGTCTTCCCAGAAACACTGTGGTCCCAGAGCGCCGCCCACAGTCCCTCATCTGGGCCCCTCATCTGGGTGTCATACTGGGGGCCACTGGTGTTTCAGAATTCAGATTAAAAGAAGAATACTTTAGAAGACTAGCACAGTACCTGCATCTTGTATTAAAACTTTTTTTGAATGTTAATTTATTTTTGAGAGAGAGAGAGAGACACAGCGTGAGCGGGGGAGGGGCAGAGAGAGAGGGAGACACAGCATCCGAAGCAGCTCCAGACTCCGAGCTGTCAGCACAGAGCCCGACATGGGGCTTGAACTCACGGACCGTGAGATCATGACCTGAGCCGAAGTCGGACGCTCAACCGACTGAGCCACCCAGGCCCCACCCCCCATGAATCTTGTATTTTAGAAACACCACCAAGGGGTTCGATGGAAACACCCCGCAGTCCGGCTCTCCCGGTTCCTGCAGCAGAGTGCCAATGAATGTTTACACTGAGTGGGTTTAGAGTTTGCATCTGCCCAGCGGAGTCCGCCCCAGACGGAGGGAAAGAACTCCCAAGCTCTCCGGATTCCCAAAAACGTACGGAAGTGAGGCTAGGCTGTATTCCACTGAAGACTTAATTTGCGCATTCAT